ACATAAAAAAAATCTCTTCATATAAACAAAATAAGGCTTTGTCTGTGCTCTTTGCATTTAAAATGAGAGGCAACCACTGCATTTTAATCATGATCCAAACAAAGATGCTGCATACGTGAAACAAGAGCAGTTTTTAATCTAAATTAGGTTGTATAATTTCGAAATTTGAAGCAAAAACAGAATGATTTGACTTCAGTTTTGTGAAACTATACATAAAAAAATATCTGCATGAAAGCTGAGCTGAACGAGACGCAGATTCACTCTCTGCCAGCAGGTGGCGCTTTAAGCGTTTCCTTGGTTTTTGCTGTAAACAAAGCAGTGCTGCACTTATAAACTTTAATATGCATTATACAGAGGCAAGAGGAAAAGGAAAAATACAATCTAAACTTTTCTAAAACAGTACTGTAAATACTTCTACTAGTACTTCTAAAGACCCCTCAGGCATACATTCATATAAACTCCTACCCCTAATTGAATCGCGATTTGTTTAGCATCTCAACCGATTTGAATCATCACATATTTGAATCGATTTTCAACCGGCTCGTGGTTCTTACATGTAAAATAATCAGACAATATTTGTTGTTACGTGTCATTGTGTTACCAAATAATAGGTTGGTGTGCAACAGTCAATAAATAATAGTTTAAATAGCATAGCATTGTCAAAGCCACAGCACAAACAGGCACGCAAAAGCTTGTGTACAGTGCTCCCGTTTTTTATTCTCTTTCTTTCATCAGTATTTTCCTTTCACTGACTATTTTGTCGAATAATTAAAAAGGAAAACAGCAGAAAATGTATATCATACACTGTATCTGTACAACAGTCTTACTGTTTTAAAGATTTATATTTTCTTAATTCACATTTTGTGTAAAGCTGAGTTAGGGTGTATTCACACCAGGAAAGTCCGCTAGTTCACTTGCTTTGGTCCGGACCAAATACATATATGACCAAATATGGTGCAGTTCGCTTTCACACTGCCCTTTTTTGCAAGTGATTGTAAACAAAACCACATGTGTGCTAAGGTCATCCATTCATTGGACAGAAATTATCAAGCAGGGAAAAACAGGAAGTGCAAAAACAGGCTAATCATGGAGATCTTTCATAGTGACTTTTATTCTTTTACTGATTTGGTATTATCAGATACTAACCCAATATGAAGAAACTTATGAGCATCATATGAAACAATGTCATACGATGTTGTAATTACGACTTGCCGAAAATAAAATCAGTGGAAACAAATTAAATATGCCATAAATTTTGCTCATAAAGGTAATAATAATGCATCGTTCGGAACTATAAAGAGTATTTTTATTTGTGTGCACTCACAATATCAAGAAAACGTTGTGCTTTTGTAAAATAAAGAAAACAAATAAGATGCGCTTGCCGACCAAATATGGTGCAGTTCGCTTTCACACTGCCCTTTTTTGCAAGTGATTGTAAACAAAACCACGTGTGTGCTAAGGTCATCCATTCATTGGACAGAAATTATCAAGCAGGGAAAAACAGGAAGTGCAAAAACAGGCTAATCATGGAGATCTTTCATAGTGACTTTTATTCTTTTACTGATTTGGTATTATCAGATACTAACCCAATATGAAGAAACTTATGAGCATCATATGAAACAATGTCATACGATGTTGTAATTACGACTTGCCGAAAATAAAATCAGTGGAAACAAATTAAATATGCCATAAATTTTGCTCATAAAGGTAATAATAATGCATCGTTCGGAACTATAAAGAGTATTTTTATTTGTGTGCACTCACAATATCAAGAAAACGTTGTGCTTTTGTAAAATAAAGAAAACAAATAAGATGCGCTTGCCGTCTCGGTCTTGAACAGAAGTGCTTCACAAAAATGCACTGAAACTCAGCAAACTTTTTCCTTACAGACATGATGAATATATCTATAGAAAGCTTTAAATGCCTACAAAACGAAATAATTCAAATCAAAAACAGTCTGTAAAGATGCATTTCTTTCTAAAGGCGCACCCAATGATGAGATGGCGAGTCAGGATCATCAACTTCATTGCAACACTGACTCATAAAACACTAGTTTATTAATAAATTATTCAAATATCTCCTTACTATTTTCCCCCAACATAGTCATGGTAATTTTTGCGGCAAGCTTTAGCCTATTTTGCGTGCTCACGTCACGTTGCTGTGCGCCATGGTCACGAAAACTCATAATTTGCACGTGTTTTTAAGCATTGTGGTTTAAAAACAAGTGATTTAAGTCATTGAAACGCAAATAACAGCACTATATGTGTCTGTTTCTGAGCATGATTTCTGCAATTGGGTCGGATCGAGGTCGGGTCATATTCACACCTTAAATGAACCGTACCAGAGTTCGTTTGGAAGCAGACCGAGACCACCTCTTCAGCTGGGTCTCAGTACGGTTGTTTGATCCGCACCCGAGTGCGATTGCTGCATTCACACCTGTCAAAAAGGTCCGCACCAAGAAGGGAAACGAACTTGAGTTCGATTCAATCGAACCAAACAAGACAGGTGTGAATACACCCTTAATTTCATGTACATTGTGTTACTGTCATATAAGTGTGTGTAATCCAAATATATTGGCACTATATCCCAAATCCTTTTTAATTCATAGGTATGATTTATGTTCAGAAAAGTTTTTCAAATACAAAAAAAGTGTCCAGCATGACTGGAATTAATAGACATGATTAATGGATGATTCAAAATAGTTCCAGTGGTTTACAAAACAGCTGCTAGTTAATACACTAGTAGCCTAATGCCTATAAACGAGGGAATTTATTTTTATGAAAGTGCTACAGCAAAACGTTTTTTCCATACATGAAACCAGTTAAGACAGGATCTAATGTACTTGTGCGTCTCATTCAGAAAAGCCGTTTCAGATCTTTAAGTGTTCTTAAGTTTGAAGAGCTACACTCCAGTTCTAATCAAACAGTGAGTACTATCTCCTCTTCAGCCCTAACCTTCACCCCGCAGCTCTAATGCACACGATTCATTCAGCTCATTTAAAACTCTACATTTTATGCTGTTACTATGTGTGTGTGTGTGCACGTGCGCGCGCATCTAAATGTTTGCCTAGAACTTTAGTAAGACAGTTGTCTGATTAGTACAAAGATACATGACCCATCTGATGATTCATTCAGCTCATTTAAAACTCTACATTTTATGCTGTTACTATGTGTGTGTGTGTGTGTGCACGTGCGCGCGCATCTAAATGTTTGCCTAGAACTTTAGTAAGACAGTTGTCTGATTAGTACAAAGATACATGACCCATCTGAGAAACAGGAGTCACTTCCTGCATAGAGACTCATCGGATGTCACGTAACAGCTGATCCTGTCCAGACCTTCCGGCCCGATTGGAGGCTCTGCAGCTAGGGACTGTTAATGACCTATCACATGGACACCTTTTACATTTTTGTTTTGCCTTTTTTATTGATTGCTAGTCATTTATGTCTAGACATGTTTTGTCGTCTTTAGATTTATCAGAATGTTTTTGTTGGATTTGTTTTGACATATTTTCATTTATATTCTGGCTCATTTACTCATACTAAATCCTGTAAGGAAAAGCCTCAAGTCCTTTGAGATATGGAGGTGGAAGTCTTTTATGATTTATCATATGTAATATTGAAATTTGTACTCAAACTGCTTCCAAAGGCTCAATGTTTAGATCTAGTCATTAGGGAGATGGGAAAGTGTCCTGGTGTTGATGATCTTTTTAAAATTATATTAAAAATAAAAAATATTAAATAAAAATATTAATTATCAGTATTTTTAGGTATATTATTCTGCAGAAAGGGAGCATCGTTAGGGATCTTTGTTTGCATTATAAAAGGCATCTTGTCTTGTAAAATCGCCTTATGTTCCCATGTAGTATGCCTTCTGGTATCACTCTGCAGCCCTACATCACAATCTTTACATGATGATGCAGCTGCTATGCAAAATGAATAATTTTTTGCTTTATAGTTTTGTTTTATGCATGCTCTCTGTGGATTTTTTTTTTATTCTGTTGTTGGATACAATGTTTTGAAAAGTTTTCATTGTCAAAAGTTAATGCAGTTTTGGATTGCTGCTCATATTTTGTCATATGTATTTCTAATGAGGACATAAGAGGCAAAACTACCGCACTGTCAGAACACATTTCTCTGAATTCAAATATTTAAAGCCAGTGATTTTCATGGCTTGATACCATAACTATTTTTGTGACTGGCTTGAATGGGTATTGTGGGAAATCAGACTTATGTTCCATTCACACATACAGTGATTTTACCGCTGCAGGTCACTCAGTCGCTGTATTGTTGGTCACTTGGTGTTCCTGTTGCTCAGTGCCCTCATATAGTGAAATCACTAGTAGCAGTAATATCAATTTCTCTTTTGTGTTGCCTACTTAACACTACAGTATCTGTCATTATCAGTAGTCACTGCATTACGTTGATACTCATTGACATAGTTAAAGTTAAACTTCTCAACTTGCATGACTGGACATGCTTGACACTTAGTCACCAAACTCTCATGTTATTGTATATCACCAGCTGCCATTGAGAATTACATCATAGTGTTACTACAGTGTATGGCTTTATTTCATCTGTCGCTTTGTTTTCCCAGCTTAGGTCTAGAATTTTTCCATTTCAGAGCTGGTTATTTGGTTCTCTTATTAGCTACGTATTTCCCTCTTATGAAGATGTGTATGATTGGCAAGGGCATGTCTCTGTTTGGAATAAATCTGCAAGCAGAGCCATTGTATGTAACTCTAGATGGACAAAAACATGCATAGCTATAGCTCAAAAATCTTCAGTCTTCATGGATGTATTTTATGGTATTGTATGAACAAAATTACTGCACTTCAAAATAGGGCTGTTATTTCGTTCTTAACTGTGCCACAAATTATAGTAAATTGGATGGGCATTTTACATAAAGGATCATGGCAGCATAGGGTACCACAATATACCATGACTTGAACCTACCAAACTTACCATACATTCTAATTTTCTCTCTTCCCCTTCTTTTTTCAGTGCTGTCTCGTGAAACGAAACCATGGGGAAGCAGAACAGCAAGCTCCGCCCTGAGGTAATGCAAGACCTGCTGGAAAGCACAGACTTTACGGAGCATGAAATCCAGGAATGGTACAAGGGCTTTCTACGGGACTGTCCCAGTGGCAACCTCTCCATGGAGGAGTTTAAGAAAATCTACGGAAACTTCTTCCCTTACGGAGATGCCTCAAAGTTTGCAGAGCATGTGTTCCGTACTTTTGACGCAAACGGCGATGGCACAATAGACTTTCGGGAGTTCATAATTGCATTGAGCGTCACGTCACGAGGGAAGCTGGAACAGAAGCTCAAGTGGGCGTTTAGCATGTATGATTTGGATGGAAACGGATACATCAGCAAAGCAGAGATGCTGGAGATTGTGCAGGTATGTCAAGCTACCTAAAGCTTTTATGAATCAACCTAATATTGGCACTCTTTAAATCCTTTTCTAATCATCACCATGACTGCTGAAGCCTGAAATAGAATCAAATATCACTTAAGGAGACACAAAAGAGAACCCGACCCAGTCCTGCTACCTAATTTTCACATCGCATATGTTGTTATTTCTCACTTGTGTTAACAGCAAGGATAGCCGTGGTGTTAGACTGTCAGGAAGCTCCATACTGTAAAGAGAGCCCAAGTCTTACGTCTGTCTCTAAAACAGGTTTTCATCAAAGAGCACTCCTTCACATGGTTATTTATGTTTGCTGTCATTGCAATTGGCCTGATTTATCTTTGCAGCTTTCTTGCTGATAAGAGTAATTTTAGCATCAGGTGATTTCTCAGATCTTGAGAGCCTGTTGAATATATATCACGTGTATATATTACATTTTTACTATTACATTTTAGGTGTAATATAGAAAAAAGGAAAATGCTATACCCACATCATACATCACCTTTTGAGTCAAATTCTTACATTTAATCAGTCAATTATAATAATAATACATTTAGGCTGTTACTAAACAAATGAAATCAGTATCAATAAAATTCATCTTTGCAGAAGTTGCATATGAAGTGGCATTTAGATGTATTTACACATGTTAATGCAGCTTAGAGGGACATGGTATGCTTTAACCTCCAGTTACAAATGCATAAATAATGTTTTGATATTTTAAACATGAAATGTTGAATACTGATATTTGAAATTATTTAAACAATGAAAATATACTTTAAATGTAAAATTAAAACCACCAGTAGGTGGCAGCAAGTCATTGTTAATAAGCCATCATTGTGATTGAACCGAATCATTTAAACGGTTGATTCATTCAGGAACGAAACACCGTCATGTTGCTCAGAGATGCAAAACAGTGCTGTGGCTGTGTTTGGAGTGGTTTTTGTTCTTGGCGAAATAGCGCAAAAACAGCCAATATGATGTCTAAAACGTAAATCTCTTGATATTAAATTATTGATTATTGAAGTGTTGTATAAAATCAATATCACATTTGTAACCATGCTGATTTTTTAAGAAATTGATTGAATTGATATAAATATCAATTGCTTCAAATATTTTGAATTGATATAAATATATACAATTTCTGCCCCCTTATCTTGAATTGTGATCATTCTTAATGCACATTAATAGACTGAATCGTGCAGTGAAAGAACACACTCTAAATGTGCACGCGCACAAAAGCCTGAGTTGATCTAACCAGACTTCATCACGTCACGTATGTGTGCCTCTGTAGGTGTGTTTTTAGTTTTTGCAATATACTCGATAATGTCATGATGTCTCACGAGTTCAGTATTTGCGCTAAACCTGCGCAGATTTGGCTTGCATGAACTTCCCCAAGAAATTAATGAGTGAACATAACTTACGAAAAGTAACCCACCAAATTGGCTAGTGATTTGACAGCGTTACTTGCCACAGCTGATTTTTACCCGCATTTGGCGGGTGTTCATTTCAAACCCTGATTACATGTATACATCTTCAAATAATATATCCATTACATTAAATGCTTAACTTTTTTGTATTTTGGCTCTGTTCACTCTCATGTAGCTGTAATATTAGTTGCCTGCTGACATTGAAATATGTATCTTCATGACTAGATAGACTCAGGTGAGTTTCTCTTTGTTATACACGTTAGGTTTCTCTATCAGGTAGGTGTATACAATAAATGAGTGTGTACGGGTCGGCCAATCTGGTTTCGTCCATTTAAAGTTAACTTTTTTAAAATAACAGTCACTGTCACGGACAGACCTTACATATTCAGGTAAAATTGAGCTAACATAACTTCAGGGGAATCTTTCTGCCTCCACCTAAGCTCCGCCCACAGAAAAATGTCACATTGTTTATTAACTGAAAAGGGGTCTATTGGCTGCACCACAAAATAATAATTAGTTTTGCTTCATCATAATTATATTTTTCAAGTTTTCTTTACATTTTTTTTCTTCAATTCTTCACAACAAATTCATAATGATAACACTATAATTTAATGCAGTAAATTCAACACACTTTTGCTAAATGGCACACAAAAGATTAAACATTAAAACTGATTGATGTGTATTTTTTGGAAGCATCAGCCTGTCCAATAAGTGAGTGTGTACGGGTCGGCCAATCTGGTTTCGTCCATTTAAAGTTAACTTTTTTTTAAATAACAGTCACTGTCACGGACAGACCTTACATATTCAGGTAAAATTGAGCTAACATAACTTCAGGGGAATCTTTCTGCCTCCAACTAAGCTCCGCCCACAGAAAAATGTCACATTGTTTATTAACTGAAAAGGGGTCTATTGGCTGCACCACAAAATAATAATTAGTTTTGCTTCATCATAATTATATTTTTCAAGTTTTCTTTACATTTTTTTCCTTCAATTCTTCACAACAAATTCAAAATGATAAAACTATAATTTAATGCAGTAAATTCAACACACTTTTGCTAAATGGCACACAAAAGATTAAACATTAAAACTGATTGATGTGTATTTTTTGGAAGCATCAGCCTGTCCAAGACTATCACAAGTCATTTTTGCAAATTCAACACCACCATCTGTTAGCCAGCCAGATAGTGTGATCAGCAGAAATTGTGAGAACGGGTTTTAATGACGGAAATCTTTTGTGTGTTATCTCCCTCAGGCGATTTATAAGATGGTGTCATCAGTAATGAAGATGCCGGAGGATGAGTCCACACCTGAGAAGAGAACAGAAAAGATCTTCAGGCAAATGGACACCAACCGGGATGGTAAAGCCTTTTTCTCCCTTTAACATTAAACTTTTTTAGCAGTGGTGTATGAACAATGACATGATGCATGATAGTCTTTCAGGGCCGAAATCATTGACCGAAACATTGAAGTTTAATTAGCGCTTCTCCGATAGCACGGTGTCTCGTGTAATCACTCAATCATTGTTTCAATCATGGAAAGATGTCAATAAAAGACAAAAATCATTTTGCATCATATCAGTGTGTTAAATGTAAAATTTTACTGTTAAACATTTTTACCATTTTACTCTTACATTACAAAGAATGCACACAGCCAGAAAACATTTTTTTGTAATAAATGTAAAGTCTGTGTGCTTGTTTGCGCTCTCTAATATAGCCTATTTAAATGCATCATGCCATTAAATAAAGGTCTCCGATCATTGAGTGATTTGAAGAGCCCCATTAGCAGTTAAACAAAGGTTTAGGACTGTCTACTTCAGCGTGAATGAGTAATTGATGATCAAAACCCAAACAGATGGAGTATACAGAAAAGATAGTGGAAAGTTTGGTCTGATTCTATGGTCAGATGAACTTTTGCATTTCCTGCTCTCTCGTGACTAGAGTCACAAGGGATGGAGACTGTGTGCATGTTTGTAGATTTGAAGGATCAGATGCAGCAGCATAAGTGTGTTCTCAAACAGATACTTTATTGTTCACAGTGAGGAAATTGAAGTACAAAAAACACTGCTACAAATGTACAGGATTCGATCAAATTACACCATGCAGTCTAAGCATGGACTAAAATGAGGTGGGTGATGAATGCTAATGTTAGTCACATCTATGACTGGGAGGACCTGTTCTTGTGCCATTTTGGGTAACAGTGCCTGTACACTGTACTGAATATCAAACGCTTCTTAGCATTCCTTCACCACCTCTCACTTTTAAATGCAAGGAGACGGCAGTGCCACCTGCTGACTAATACGGTACTTGGCACTTTTGTGGTTCTTCAGTCACTGCACGTTTTTTTGTTTTTTAGGAATGTCCCTAAACTAAAATTCAGTCAGATACCCCCCAAAAACTATATAAATTCTACTATTTTTGTTGCAATAAAATGAAGGAGACCAAAACTCCATCAGTGACAGAAATGGAGAAAAAAAACCTTGGGAAAAATTGGGAAAATGAACATGCACAAATTAGTTTGTGTTAGATTATATCTTGCCCTTTTTTAACCCGAAGACCTGAAGTCTTATTAGATTTATTAGAAACACTAAAATCTTTTCCATTGTTTCCATAACACATTTTTATTTCTGCTCACAGGTTGATTCAGATTCTAATACAATGAGCCGAAAACTAGCCAGAATTTTTCTATTGTAAATAATATGATTTTTTAAGCGCCTGTGTCCTCTCTTGTTTTATTCTAGGAAAACTGTCTCTGGAGGAGTTCATCAAAGGGGCAAAGAGTGACCCATCCATTGTGCGTCTGCTACAGTGTGACCCCAGCAGTGCAGGACAGTTCTGAGATCAGCGTCTCATGCTTCAGCCTTTTATTTATTTATGGGTTTTAATTTAGTTTTTGATATAGCCGCTCCTTCCACTCGCAGGGAAATGATGGAGGGTCAGGTTTCCCCCCCCCCCCCCAAGAGTAGGGCATCTGGGTCTCATCAGACTGAGCTTGGCCAGATATAGAAACACACACATGCGCACACAGTTATTGGCTGTGTTATCTCTGTAGGGAGCCACACCGGGTCTGCAAGAGGCCTGTCATGGAGTGAATTAAGGTAACTAGAGTATTTATCTGAGCTCGAATAACTTTCTGATTAGAAAAGAGGTTTCATGTCATGGTAAATACATAGTCAATTTTATTTTTATTTTCGCTGGGTATTAGATGAGACCATTTAAGCTTGACCAAGACAGGAATATAAGATTGGAAATAATGTATGCACTCAGTAAAACAAAATTTTTTCTATAAAAAATAAAAAATATCTGATGCCTGAATCATAGATCAAACAGGTGACAATAGTGTAAACACCTTGAATATTTGGGTTATTTTTAACTTTATTTAGACTAAGTAGTTTATTTTAATTCATAGCTTGGCCAGCTTTATTATTGGCAGATCACAGTATTATTATCCAGTGGGACCAATAGATCAGGCATGCCGATTTTCCAGTTGTATGATTCCCCACGTTGCGCTTACAATCTGAAGAGCCTTACTACTTAGTGCTGGAAGCGCACATCCAATTTTGTGTGTATTAGTTTGGTTTTAATCAGATAGTCTACCATGCAAAAGACATGAAATGAACTGCGTTCTCTTTTTCCAGTTTTCTAATGTTTGTACTCTAGTAACTGTAGGCTTGTATATAAATCTGAAATATCAGACACGCATGCAAAACTGTACTCAGAGTTGCAGCGATCGGTTTTCTTGGCATTTTTAGCAAAAGCATGTAAACAAGTTTATCTGCATTTGTGGGCAGGAGAGTATTTGTGTAATTTGTATGCATGTGTTGTGTGTATGTGTTTGGTTAATATCAGTTACAGCCCTGTTTGCTCACCCTGGTTCTAGATGTTGTGTTGCATCGTATGCATTATTGCAGAACATTTTTGTTATTGAAGTACTACTAAAGCTTTATTCATTCAAAGCTAATATGATTTTAGAATCACTTTTATCTGCTATACAGCCAGTCTTTAACCCTGGATTGTACACATGAGCATCATCAAGTTGCTGAATTGCCTTAAACACACTCAAGTGTTTCTGTGGGTGAGTGATATTTTTTTTCTTCAATTGCAGTAAATTAGCTTGAACCTGAAATGAAAATTATCCATCTGTTGGTGAGTTTGGCTCTGTGCTCTTCCCGTTCACCCCTTTAGCAGATGTAATTATGTTGACGGCCTTTTGCTTAGTATATTAATTTGTCATACACGCTCATTTCAAAATAACAGTGTAAGTGGAAATAGGACCCATTGCTTTTCAAATGCCCCTTGCATTCATGTTGTATTCATACCTGTGTCCATTTCACTTGCAGCACAAATTGAATTCAGCAATAGGTAGAGAGCATTTATTCGGAGCTCCTAGTAGTTCCCATATCACCCTCTGCCCTGCTTTTAGCAAACATGCCAACTGCTTCTACTGATGTGCAGTGTTCTTGAATGTCCCTGTTAACGCCAAATGCCTCACCACAGTGCATTCGGTTCTGCTATACTGTTAATGAACATATTTGAATGTTTTTATTTTAGTTTTTATCTTACTGCTGTTTTTGTAAAAATATAGAAAAAGAGGCAGATCAAAATTGTTCTGTTATTTCATGTTTTATGCATTTTTTTCCCGTTTTGTTTTCTTTTTAAACATCTGACATAACATTTCTGTATGACAATTATATCATGTGGTCAGGTGCCAAAAATATGAAAGCAGTATTGTAAAAATGTATACTGTACAATCGTTATTTGTCAAACAAATTGTTTGTAATTGTTGCATTTTGTAGATTTTGTATGGTAATCCGTATTTTGTGACTGTAGATTTGAGACATAGAGATTTGTTTTGGTTATCATATTGAGCAGAAATTAAATCTGGAGAGAACGGAGCGTGTTGTTGTGTTGCATTCATTTGCTGTCTTTGAGAGTCATCCTTTTTTGTTGGTGGTGTTGTTCTCAATGGCAGCCACTAATAGAAACTCACTCAAAATAGGTTGAAATGTAGTAGTACCTACTTTGGCCACAAGATGTCCGCTTACGTTTATGTATGTGTTGAATTATTTGAGGTGAATTATTAGTTTAGATGCTTGAGATCAAGCATAACATCTGAATGACTAAAAAGCGAGTTAAGACTTCAAAGAATCTGACTTTTGTATAGTTATGTATTATAAAATATTGCTTTCTCTGGATATTGGTGTTCCGTTTATTCCCAATAAATGATTCCTGAAAGTACATCTCCTGAAGTAATATTAAATTATAATTCCCATCACTTTGAAAGCGTTTTATTCTTCCCAATGTTGTGAGTGCTCTTTGAAGGTCTTGCCCAGCCCAGGGGCTTCAATGAGGAAATCTTACACATGTCTGACACTCTCGGTGGTACTCTGGGCAACTCTATATCACTGTCTTTGTGATGCTGTAAGATTAGATAGGTGGTGAAACAAATTAGAAATTTCCACTCCTACCCACCACATGAGAAGCATTCCTTAAAAGTATAACCATTGTGTAATTACAGCATTTAAAGGGAGAGTTCAGTTGTTGGTCCCCATTCACTTGCATAGTGATTTTTTCTTTTAAATAATACAATAAATGTATTTATATATATATATATATATGTATATATACAGTGGGGCAAAAAAGTATTTAGTCAGCCACCAATTGTGCAAGTTCTCCCACTTAAAAAGATGAGAGAGGCCTGTAATTTTCATCATAGGTATACCTCAACTATGAGAGACAAAATGAGAAAAAAAAATCCAGAAAATCACATTGTAGGATTTTTAAAGAATTTATTTGCAAATTATGGTGGAAAATAAGTATTGGGTCAATAACAAAATTTAATCTCAATACTTTGTTATATACCCTTTGTTGGCAATGACAGACGTCAAACGTTTTCTGTAAGTCTTCACAAGGTTGTCACACACTGTTGCTGGTATTTTGGCCCATTCCTCCATGCAGATCTACTCTAGAGCAGTAATAACTTATAAAAAAGGCCTGATTAAAAAATAAAAAAAACTATTTAGGCCTTTGTCGCGTATATGAAGTGGAGTGGTGTAATAGATTAATTGAGACTGATACCATTTTAAAATGTTCACTGTTGTGAAGTTTTCTGGTTTCGGTAGCAGTAGATTGGGGCGGGCCTTGTTCTCATGCTCAGGCAAGAGATGACATCATGTGAATCATCTGAGTCAGCGAGATTAGTCCAGAATTGCTCGCTGATATTTTCCCATCAGATTGCATTTACTATGTTATATATGCAAGTGACTGAGCATTCGCAACCATAAACGTTTTTTAAAGGTGGTGCATGAGAAAGAGTTTCTTTATTTGAATTTCCTAAAAATGAATAGACCCCCAACATGAGCATGCTTAAGTTATCAGAGGACAACTTCTCCAGAGGTCTTAGAGCCTTTATTGGACTGGTGAAATGTGTCGATTCAGTGAGTGTATGTATAAACTACTGTCACATTTTGCTAACAATGCAGAATCGTTACCTGTCAGACGGGTAGAAGCTGAAGCCCTTCTCCAGGTCAAAACAGGTTATTTTTCTTTTGAGTACTCCGGCATGCCACACCTCTTGTGAAATGTCCCATGTAGTCTGATAAAGATGCGGATCAAGTAAGAACTGAACGGTTTTTAAAAAATAAAAAATCATGACCGAACAAGACGAGCAATCTAAAACTACAAAAACAGACCGATAATGCTCTGTCTCTGTTAGTCTTTATGTTGGAGCACATTATGAAATATCTGGTGTCAGTTTCTATTCCCATGACTGATAACTGCAGGTCATTAGTAGATTTCACTTGACCTCTCAATAGTCTTGTTAAAGCCTGCCATCTTCATCTCTGATCTGTCACGTACACATTAGTACTCACTGAAATTGAGGTTTCTCATAAGAAAGAAAAATTAATTTTTTTTGTCATAGGCTGTCTTTTTAATTTTATTATTATTGTTTTATTTAACTATTCCGCTCATTAAAAGCATAACTGGTACAGAAGCTCATCCTAGGCCAGCCAAATCCCAGATGCCAGAAAAGAAAGAGCACATTTGAAGCTTTTAAAATAGAGCCACGCCTGTTAGTCTAACAGACATTTTATTTGCAACCCTAACAAACAAATAGCAGTCTGCTAGTCAACAATACAAGTATTTGGATAGGCTCAGACAGAGGGCTAAAGTGAACAAACATTCCTTTTCCCAACAAGAAAAACTCAATGGAAACAAAAGTCCCATTTCATTATTATACTCAGTTGGTTGATATAGTAAACTGCTCTGCCAGCTGCAATGTTATGTACAGACGTAAACATCTTGCTCCTTAGTATCTCATTGAGCTTCTCCAATCATTCATTTTTTTTTATAAACAAAACGTCTTTTATTAATTTTTTTTTTTTTTTTTAGATTGATATATACGTTATTTAGAGATTAACCAGTATTTAAACATTTCTCCAATCATTCATTTTTTTTATAAACAAAACGTCTTTTATTCAATTTTTTATTTTTTTTTAGATTTATATATACGTTATTTAGAGATTAACCAGTATTTAAACATTTCCCATAAAACACGCCTCTCGAGCATCTCTATGCGCAATCAATGAAAAACTCCCACGAACAGAATGTGATTCTCTATTTCAGATGCATGTTTTAACATTATAAGCGCGCAGGTGGCTGCTACGCCTTCTTTTTTGCTTTACAGCCAATCGCCGTCGCCGAATCAAAGTAGCTGTGCCGGGATTGGTTGGCTCGTCCCCTCCTCCAGGTAATGAGAGCGCACCTTTGCTTGCTCACAATAACAGTCACCTTGAGACTTTCCAGAATTAACACAATTTTTCCGCTTGATCCTGAATGTTTGGCTGCTCTTCTTTGTGCGGAAAAGACGGAGGATGCTGTAATGAGAGTCGGATGCGAGAAGTTGTTTGACCTGTAGTCCGAGTTTTCTTTCAGCCGTTCCCTGCGACTCACCTGCCGCATCTTCATCGACCTGAAAGTCCAGTTTCACTGTGGGAGCCCAGCAGTGCACATGGCTCAGGAGGAGAAGTAAGTCGCCAATGTAAACACTAATGCAGTTTATAAGAAATGGCAAACTTAAGTCAGTTATATAGCAACGAGTTGTTTGAATTTCATGACGTTTATCTTTATATGTGACTTCATCGCAACAGGTCATTTTGTTTGATAAAATGCTAAGTAAATATGTTTCAGCATGCTTTGATCCCATGGTTCTTTATTAAACTACTTAAAGGTAGCATAAAAAAAAATAGAAGAAGTCCTAGAATAGAACCTTGTGGAACTCTACTATATTTTACTATAATTATTAATGTTTTATTAGTTTTTTTCCCCCTAAAATATTTATTTAGATGATCACCAGTGTAAGGGTTTCTAAAGTGTAAACTATAACGTAAATTGCAACATAGAACAAATGTGACAGACTGATTTATTATTATTTTTTTTTCATTACCTTTTCCTCTTCTTGCTTGCTGTAGTACATCTATAACGGTGGGCCTGGGCAGGTGGCTTATATTGGCTAACATCCTTGTACAGCCCCTCCCATGCAACCCTTCCTCACTGTAGTATCAATATCCAGCAGGATATAGTCCATTGTCCCACGGAAAAAAAGCAATTGTGTGGAAAATGTAAAAGGATAGTGCTGGGAATTTCATTTGTATGCTCCAACCCTTTGTAAACTTCATGAACCCTAAGGTATAGAGAGAGGTTGGGATCAAGCCTGTTGTATCATTTTTATTTTATTTATTTTTTTGACAT